GCTGTCACAGAATATACAGTCAATTCACTAAACAGTGAAGGACTTTGAGACATCTCGAAGACATGATAAGGCGCTATGTCAAATGCAAGGATTATTATTATTATTATTCACTGTATTCAGAAAATAATTACCGTATTAACCAAATCATCTACATGTCTTGAATTCCATGAAAGCAACTTGGCTATTAAAGAGCTGGAGGATTAAGTTTTTTGTAGAAGTCGGCAGTTTTGATTTTGGTATCCAACAATAATTATCATCATCAAATACGGCATTGTTCATTTACCTACTTCACATGAGAATCCTCAAATACTTAATAGTCCTTTTATCCTTAAGACCATTGTCTTAAACATTAAGTTTGCATAGAATTTAGGAAAACTGAAATTCAAAATTATTTTAGAAGCTACTTTCCCCAGTCCTTAATTGGAACTGAAGGCCTCAAAGTTGTTCACTTAAAGATAAACATGCCTTGAAGATCTTCAAGAAAAATATCTTTATTTTCAAACAGGAATTGTGCTAGCTATATTTTCTACAATATGTTATTGCTTTATAGCCGATCAAAACATGCCAACGCATGCTCAGCCCTTGCTCTCAGAGTTGGTATTTTACAATATACCACAACTAGCATTTGTTCTACAAATAGCAATAATGATCTGAAAACGTTAAGTACCACACTCTTATCATTACTCTCTTTCCCAGTACGAACAAGTTACTATTCTTGAGCGTCAGGTGAATGGAATGGAGAAATATTTCTAAAGGAATGTACTTACACCCAGAGCTTGTTGAATGAATTAACATGATATGAAGAACAATCTTGTAAATAATGGCAAACATGTTAAAGAATGGATGTATTTCAGCATGGCACTAGTACGAGCATATATAGCCTTTTTCCTTTCAACTTAATATGAAACAATATTTTAGTTATTTAGCATAAATTTTGGAGCTATCACTATTCCAGTCCATATTCTTCATTCCAAAACCTATATTCCCGACAACTGAAAAGGACAGACAAGAAACTGAACAGTATAATTAAGCTGTATAGGAAAATAAGGGAAACTTTTGCCAAACTCAATGCGAGATTTGCTGCAAAGGATACCTGAACAATTGTAAATCACTAACTGCTGATAATCCGTAGTCTGCGAAAGATCAGATGAAGACCAGAGCATTCACTGGATATTACCTTTTCATACAATAACAAATCAGTCTCATTCTGTGATTATTTCCTATTTTAGAGCCTGTGTCAAACCATAGAAACCCATCTCTCTGGTCATCCGACGGGCTTGAATTTTGGCAATGCTCCAGAAGGTCAGCATGGCACTGGTACAAGCATATGGAGCCTTTTTCCTTTCAACTTACTATGAAACAACATTTATTTTAAGGTCTTTCCAGCAAGGTCAATAATTCATCACCACAAAACACAGAAACTATCTGATTTAAACAGTTTAAAACAGATTTTATCTGAAACAAAATTTCTTGGGCCTTTCAAGGTAGCTGACACTCCAATGCATTGCTGGGACAGTGCTGAATTGTCAGAACTGCCGTTCTTTGGATGAGATGATAAACCGAATTCCGTTTGCCTATTCAGGTAGACATAAAGATCCCATGGCACTATTCGAACAGACAAAAGAGTTTTTCCTGCTGTCCTGACCAACAATCCTCCAGATGCAATTGTTCATTCACTTCATGGCTATCTGCAGTTTATTGCTTTTTTCAAGATATTGCTGTATGCAAATTGGCTATGATAACCACCCACAAATATACAGTCACTATACTTCACAGTGAATCCCGTAAAGCCTTTGAGATGTCCCGATGCTAAGGTGCTATATCAAGGGCCTATCACCAACTTCCTCGGCCTACCGCGTTAGATTTTTCCAGATACAAAATAATTTGACTTTTACTCATCAAACATGAAAATACATCACAAGTCATAAATTACCCATTTATCGTTGCATGATATCTCCATTTAAACCACATGCTTGTGGACATTCTGATGAATTATTCATTTCCGTGCTTCTGAAGGGCACAATCTATCTTTGATTCATGTGGAAACCAAAAACAATTTACAGCACTTTTTATCAGACACAGAACAATATTTTGAAAACCTTGAATAGCACACGATACTAGTGGCATGTGTTTACTACACAGTTCATGTGCGGACAGGAAACTAGAATATATCTTATTTGAGGAAAATTATCAGGACAACTGCAAAAGTGTAGTCTGAAACCAAGTTGTGGATAAGATCATATAAAATAGTCCACAAGGTGGCACCTTGCTCCCATCTGATATATTTTTGGAGGCTGAGAGACAGAAACCTTATAAAATGGCAACATTAAATGAAATATTTCAGAATTTAAGAAAATTCCAAAATGTTGAAAAATTACAAAGCCTGAAGAGGTCACTATTTCTACTTAAGTATTTCACAAAACCAAAATGTCTGCAATACTAACAATGCACTATCAACTCTGAAAAAAATAAATATTAAACATTTGAAATGTTGAGATTCCTACAAATAAATATTCCACGCAAATATTCCACCAAAACAAAACAATAATACATTGGTCATTTTCAATCCACGACTGTTTGTGGGACGCTGCTGTGCGCAATTGGCTGCCGCGTTTCGCCCACAAATAGACGGTCAATTCACTTTACAGTCTATTCTGTGAAGTGCTTTGAGACGTCGAGAAGACGTGAAAAGCGCTCTATCAAATGCAAGGATTATTATTATAGACTTTAAACAAGGGTGTGTAATTCTGATGTAGTTCAAAAGGCTGAGATATAATCGTACCAAGGTCAACAGTTGCATTGCATCGGTGTTGGTCTATAATGTGAGACAACCACTTTGTCTGACTATCTTCTCCAACTTCATAATATCAAAATAAAATGGTATTAAATTGACAGTAGTTTCTCTGAATTTGGAGTATCTCTGAATGGGTATGCAGTTATTAATTTAAAAAAATGATTTTTTTGTTTTTTTAGTGTATCATTGTGCCTCAAACTCCAAGCATCATTTAATTTGAAACATTAGTGAAGTAGATATTATAATTTAGTCTGTGACAAGCAAACTGAACAAACTGGTATGGTGTAGATACCATTCATCCTAGAGTGTCTCGTGTTTTACATTCTAAAACCTCAAACATTAATAGTTTCAGTGGCAATTGTACCACTCATCAGAAAGGCCACTTTCGCATCCTTCAGTTGCTCTGTAATCAAATTATTTTCATTACTGTCTTTGGAAGTTTGCTATTTTGTCTACAACTGGCTATTTTAATGTGGAACTTTTGTGAAAAAATCTAAAATGGATCAGCATCTGAAAATAAAAGTGAAGTCTAGATCAATTGAACCCACTCTGGAACCAAAGAAGGCACAGATGTTACAACATAGGAAGTAGTGTAACTCAGTACATTCATAAATTACAGATAGGTTAATCGGTTGAAAGCAAAGGTGTGTTTTGCAGGTCCCTTATATTCAGTTCAGCCCTGAAATTAAGGGAACCTTGACACAGTACAGTATTCAGAGTTCCCATGGCATGCTGTGTTATTTTAGGACACTATAGCATTCCAAAAATGTGTGGGAATAAAGAAAGAACACATCATCTTGATATATCAGGCAAACATTTGAGAATTTGAAAAAAAAATAATGCAGGCCAGTAAGTTTCACAATCATTTTTCAGTCAGTTAACTAGGGGGAAAAAAGTAGCATTATTATTCTCCCAAAGTGAGTGTGAATCTTTTCTGTAGCTGTGCTTTCTTTTCTTATACACTGTTACTTACACAAGTTTTCAAAGACATATTTGTTATAATAACATAGGAACTTCTCAAAGCTCTTCGCAGAATCTTACTGTAAGGTGTAAGATATGTTCATAGGCAAACATGGCAGGCAATTTGCACACAATGTCCCCAAAACAGCTATAACGGCCAATTTTATCACTTAATGTTAGTGTGGAGCGGCAGTTAATGCCAGCTCATGGTTTCGTTTTGACAAAGAGATCTTAATATTACCCATCAGGGGGTGTCAAACACTCATGTTAAAATGTAAACCAGTTGGATGTCTGCCGATCTTAAAAATAAAGCCGCATACAATTTCACCCCATTTGTCATGTCCCAATATTCCCAATACTCACAATACCATCCTGATCCCAACAGCGCTGTAAGAAGAGAAATATCAATGAATAGAAATAGGAATTTGGGTTACAATGGCCCAGAAAATGATCTGCAAATTAGAAATTACAAAACCAAATAGATTGACAAAGCTACCTCACGGGAATAATTCCTGGGCTTGGCTGGAAATGGACTGCTGTGATCTGCAAATAAATTACAGTGTAGTATTTTAGCCCTGTTCTGTGTGTGTGTGTGTGGGGGGGGGGGGGGAAGGGTAGTTAAGGGTGTGTGTGGGGTGCTCAGTATTATTGCCAACAACAACAAATTGCATTTATATAGCATCCCTCAGGAAGGGTCAGCCACCCATTGTCACACAGAGGTTAAAATAAAGATGCTCTCATTCTCAACCTCCTAGTGTTTGCGTTGCAAAGCACGTCTCCAAATGCACTTTGCTATTCATTGCTAGATCCTAAAATAGACTTTACCCCCACCCCCCAGCAAAAAAAAACCTTTGTGTGTGTGTGTGTGTGTGTGCTGTGGAGCAGAGAGTGTGACGTTTGGGTCTGAGCTGGAGTCTTCACTCAGACCTTCAGCAGGAATGTGATTGTCACAAGCCTCTCTCTCTCTGTGTGTGTGTGTGTGTGTGTGTTTGTGTTGTGTGTGTGTCTCTCTCTCTCTATCTTTGCCCCAACCTGCAGTCTGGGATTTGGCACAGTCACTGTGCTTTAAAGTCCCAGCTTTAAAGGGAGACAACATGAGAGAGGGAGAGAGGGAGGCAGAAGAAGAGTTCTTACAATTGATCCAGCTGCATAAAGCCATTTACCGTTGAGGAAGGAGGACAGACACAAAAGCAATCCTGTTCTGTTTGCCAACCTGAGCTGGCTGAGCTACTTATATAACCTTGACAGCTGCCAGCAGCAAAAGCATTCAGACCTTGGAGGGTGTGACTTGAAGTCACACGTCTGGCAGAATAGTGTTAACAAATTGCACATTTCAATTGCAAGCAAACCTCCTGCAGCCTCTGGGCTCGTCGGTAACAATATTTCTGATTGCTATTGGTTTTTTTTTCATTATTAGTAGTGGAGCAGAAATGTCAGCTTCTTCTGCCACCAGAGTGTTTGTGCTCTCTCTCCTGTCCATCCCAGTGACTTATCTGTTCAATTTTTTATCTGCAAATAACAGGTAAGTGGCTGTTCGTTTTCAGGTCTTTTTTTACTGTACAGAAATGTGTTTAAAATGAGGAAGAGACGTTACTGTTAAAACTTCTCCAAAGCAGTCGGTAGCGGAAGGCATTCACTAGCTCGTCATTTGTGCTTTGTGGTAACATAAGAAAGAGAGAAGCCCTAATGAAACTGTTAAGTGTTATTTTCAGAACAACTGGTCGCAGTGTCAACTAAACGTACAGAGAGCACACACTGTTTTATTTTAGTGTGAGGAGGGGAGAATGCCACCCATATATCCCCAACATATAATATAGTAATAATCCTTCCATTTGATATAGCGCTTTATCGGATCATCGAGATGTCTCAAAGTGCTTCACATGTTATGCAGTAAAGTGGATTGACTGTGTATTTTGTGGGCGAAATGGCAATATGTTATCTCGAGAATTTTTATTTTGGTCAGCCAGCCGGTTGTCTGACATGCGCAAAAATCCATCAACACGCTTAAGAGTATCCAAACCAAACTGAGAATTCCATGCATCCCACCTTCATATAATAATAATAATAATAATAATCCTTGCATTTGATATAGCGCTTTTCACGTCAGGAGGACGTCCCAAAGCGCTTCACAGAACACACTGTAAAGTGAATTGACTGTATATTTGTGGGCGAACGCTAGAGATAGATTGTTGGAATGGAATGCGCACTCTCTCCCCGGAGGGATGCATCCTGTTTACCTAATTCCGGAAAATATCGGGAGCAGGTTGCCAAGAGTACTGCTGGAGTCTTATTTATCCAGCTAAAACTGCGTAGCTTGCCATTGAAAGCACTTTATGGCTCATACACTTCCTCTATCGGAACTGGAATTGTTTACATGTATAACAACAACAACAAAATGACATTTGTAAAGCACCTTTCACGTCGGGAGGATGTCCCATGGCACTGGACAGTCTGTGTTTCGGACCCGAGCTGGGGGTCGGGATTGGGAAGGGTGGAGGGCAGGGGGGAAGCAAGGTGATCGAAAGCACGGTTGAAGAAGAGGGTCTTAAGATGGGTCTTGAAGGAGGCAAGTGAAGGGGCGAGGCGGAAGGACTGCGGGATGGAGTTCCAGAGGGGAGAGCAGAGTGGCAGAAGTCAATGGTGGGGCGGGCGAGGCAGGGGACATGAAGCAAGCCGGGGCCCACTGAGCGGAGGGAGCGTGCAGGATGGTGGGGGTAACGTGTACAGGAGCGTAACTATCAATTTGTCTCTAGTTTGAGATATCTTCCTCTGGATTTAGAAGAGCACCTTGTATGTATATAGTGCCCTTTGTCTAAAAGCACTTGCCAATGGGAGCAGTGGACACTGAGCAAGCAGAAGGGAGAATGTTGAGGCGACCAAAAGCACAATCAGAGATATAGTATTTTGAGAGAGAATTTTGAAAGTGAGTTTTATTCATTTCTTTCCAGGAAGTTGTCTTTTCTTACTCAAGTCTTAAGGTTTCACTAAAGACAACAAAGAGCCACTTATGAGTAGAGATGTTGAATCCAGCCCTAGTTGGTAATCACTGTGAATGGAATAGTCATCTTGGAGTTATTACATATTCCCATTATTCATGCCTAGTGATGTTTTACATCACATGAAACATTTTGTAAACAGATTAACTGAGTTTATTTTCCTTTAACAGATCATGGACAAACCTTATTGCTGCGACACTTATCTTGGTTTCTGTTTCATTAATCGCGTTTCTTTTGGTAAAACAAAAACCTCCAAAGGATTCCTTATTCTATCGTGAGTACTTACTGTGAGTTTATATAATAAAAAGATATGAAACATGGAATTATCATGTTGTACAACCAATGTTGTACAAATTGCATTGATGTAACATTTTTATCTCAATATAATTCAAGCCAACTGAACGTTTTGCAGAAATGTTGAAAAAGATCAGAATAGAGTCAATTTATTTCTGTAAATGATATACATGTGTGTTTTGTTTCTTTGCAGTCTTTGCAGTTTTTGCATTTACTAGCGTGGTGGACCTCATTATAGGACTTGAACTAGATGGACTCATTGATGGATTCATGAACGTTTACTTGAAAGAGGTAAACAGACACGTTTTACTCACCGATCTTGTCATACTGTAGGTGTTGGTCATCGCTAATCTGGGTAGAAAAACATGGGAGAAGTTCTGCTCTCTTTGTCATAGTTGTGTTGCAGTTATTTTGCTTGCATTAGAATAAATGGTGAGATATTCCACCTGGGTCTAGATTTTCTCTATTAACTTAACATTTTAGGATGTGGAGAATTTGACAACTTGCTGAATTCAGTCTTAACTTTGAGTCCGTTTTCTTACAAGAAACTTACAGAAAACTGATTTAAAAAATAGGTCTGAATTTAGAAATGTACAATTCTGAGTGCTTTATGCTATATTAATAGAGTAAATCTAGACCCAGTTGGAATTTCTTCCCTGACATGACTCTTCTGCCAGTGCTGCATAGAGAGTTGACACAATCGTTTTTATTACATTTCTCTTATTATTTGCTTTAATTTCCAGGATGACTACAATCTCAATAACCAGATTCCTAGGTAGTTTTAAGGCTGAACAATCATTCTTAGTTGATTCATTTTATCTATTTAGTATTAACATTTAATAATGTAAATTTGCAATAAAAAAACCCAGTAGCGGCAATGTGTCTGCTATTTGATTCAGCAGCCAGTTAAGCGTGTGAAATAAAGACAGCACCAATATTAATGGCTTTGCATTAGGTTAGAACTCTAACTCATGCAGTTCTGAGAAAAAAGAGAGGAAAGTTCACTATGAATTAACTCTCAGTGTTGCCAATGCTGAATATTTCACAAATGAGCACTTTGGTATTGACATCTGACACTCTGTTTTGTTACTAACCTTAGCATTAACACAAATGCCCATACAATTGTTGATCTGAACACCAATGCAGATTTTCCTTGCAACCAAAGCAATATTCCGACAAGAAGTGCACATTTAAGGCATGACTGATTATAAATAACTTTGCATTCCACTTAATATGCATTGAAAACAAATTGTAAGGATGCCATTTGCTTGTAACAAGAAAACAAATCTGACTCAAACTCCCAAGAGGGGTTTCTTGCAGTTAAGTCATTGGGAAGCTATTAATAGCTTTTTGCGGTGACGAGGTAAAGAGAGGGATGATGTCCAGGAAGACTGGAATCTTTTTTATTGATTTCTTTTGGCAGTAGGCCCATCTCTTGATGATTCACTTTTCTTGAATTTCTTTTTAGGTAGTGGCAAATACATTCATTCTAATGCAGTTATGTTTCCACAAAGAACAGATGAGCTGTGTATGACAATGAGAATATTTAAGAAAACTGAAGGTGAAAAAAGAGGACATGAGAATAAAAAACTCATCTTGCAGAATAAATGCATATAGCAGAGAGTTAGAGTAAGATTCAGATTGCCTGATCCTGTGTAATCCATGCCAGATAACCTAATCCGAAAGGGGAAATAAACATATTTTTCCTGCACAGAGCTTTGCTTGCAAAGCACGTAAATTGAGCTGGAAGGGGAGATGAAATCTATTAACCTGTACATTTCAACTCCAGTGCAGATATGAAATACCAATACAGTCTGTTCCAACAGCCACCCCTTGGCATATAGCAATGCAGAGGGAATACGATATTTAAGTAGAGATAATTGATGATTAAGAGGGACATTCTGAAAAGCGCCAGCAACTCTTCTGCTGAGGAATTTTTGTGGATTTGGGCAATAGCTTTTGGAAAACAAAGAACGAGCAGAAAGTGTCTCTTCTCTCCTCACTTATCTCATATCACTAATTTTAGAGGAATAAAAAAATTGAAGCAAATACTTATTGTTGATTTTCTGTACAATCGCTTTCTTTTATTATTGTGCAGGGAGAACCTTATCTGAGTACAGCCCATGGCCACATGGTTTGCTTTTGGGATGGTTCAGCTCATTATTTGATGTACCTCCTGATGGTGACAGCTATAGCCTGGGAGTAAGTTACTTTTTAACAATGTTCAACTTCTTAACCATTCAAAATCAATAAATAATTAGCTGTTGTGTAACCAGCAGTTCTTGTTCTGGAACGTTAGACAGTCAAATACAAACCATACCCTCAGAACAAATCAGCCCTTCGGGAAGGAAGAGGAATTTGTAAAGGAGAAAATTCAAGCAGATACAATACAATATAGATGGTCTTTTTAACATAACCCCAAGTACAATACTGTCAAAAATTGAATGATAAAGAGGATTTTATTGAAATCTACTGGCCTAATGTGGGTTTACAAACACTTAAAATTGTGAAAGCCTCAGTTGCAAATTTCTTCATTGAAGTTCATTAATGTTAAAGTTTGTTCTGGTATCTTTCCTGAGGAAAGTATGCATACTCTTATTACACTCCACACTCGACACTCTTGCCCCCATTACCTCCCGTACTGTCTCCTACTCTCACTCCTCCCCCTGGTTCACCACCCACCTCCGCTCACTGAAGAGCCAGGTGCGGGCCGCTGAACGCACCTGGGTCAAATCTGGCCTAACGGTCCACCGACAAATCTGGCTGGACCTCCTCAAAATCTACCGCTCCACTCTAGCCTTGGCCAAGTCGTCCTTCTACTCCAGGATAATCCTGGAGGCGAAGAACAACCCCAGGCTACTGTTTTCTACCACATCCCGACTCTTCTGTCCCCCCCGCCACTCCGCGCAGGTCATCTCCTCCAACCTTCACTGTGAGGAGATGCTGGATTTCCTTGAATCCAAAATCAAGGGAATCCGCTCCGCGGTCACTTCCCCTCCAACATCCACCCACCTCCCAACCCTCCCTCCCACACTCCGACTCCTACACATCCTCCCCTACACACTTTCGTACCCGTTTCCCCACCCTCTGTCACCAAACTCATCCTATCCCTGAAACCCACCACCTGCTCCCTTGACCCCATCCCCACTCCACTCCTTATCTCCCAGCTCCACCTCCTTGCCCCACATATCACAGGCATCGTCAACCTGTCCCTCTCCTCTGGCTCTGTTCCCATTCCCTTAAAAACTGCCACCACCACTCCCACCTTGAAAAAACCCTCCCTTGATGCGTCGCAGCTATCAAGCTACCGGCCCATCTCCAACCTCCCCTTCCTGTCCAAGGTCCTTGAACGAGTTGTCGCCTCCCAGCTGCGCTCTTTCCTCTCCACCCATTCATTATTCGAACCCCTTCAGTCGGGTTTCCGTGCTGCCCATAGCCCAGAAACTGCCCTGGTCAAGGTCACCAATGACATCCAGACCATCTGCGACCAGGGCTCCCTCTGCCTCCTCGTCCTCCTCGACCTATCGGCAGCATTCGATACGGTCTACCACGCTATCCTCCTCCACGGCTTGTCCTCCTACCTCAACCTTCAAGGCCCTGTCCTTGAGTGGTTTAGGTCGTACCTCTCCCACCGTCTTCACTTTGTTTCCACGAACGGCTTTTCCTCCAGCCCCCGCACTGTCTCGTGTGGTGTCCCTCAGGGCTCTGTCCTCGGTCCCCTCCTCTTCATCCTCTATATGCTCCCCCTTGGTGACATCATCCGCAGACATGGGGTTAATTTCCACATGTATGCGGATGACACCCAACTCTACCTTTCCTCCTCTACCCTCAACTCCACGACCACCGATGTCCTGACAGCCTGCCTGTCCGACATTAAGTCCTGGACAAGAGACAACTTTCTTCAGCTCAACGTGCGTAAAACTGAGGCCCTCCTGATTGGCTCGCGTCAGCGCCTCCGCACCTCTGGCGCTGACAGCATCAGCATCCAAGGCTGCACTCTCCACCTCTCAAAGCCAGTCAGGAACCTCGGTGTTCTGTTTGACCCTGAGCTGTCCTTTCTCCCTCATATCCGCGCCACAACTGGCACCGCCTTCCATCACCTCCGGAATATCGCCAGTCTACGGCACTACCTCACCCCTCACGCTGCTGAAACTCTGGTCCACGCCTTTATCACCTCAAGGCTGGACTATGGGAACTCTCTCCTCTCCGGCCTTCCCGGCACCTCCCTCCACAAGCTGCAGGTCATTCAGAACTCTGCAGCTCGTGTACTGTCCCGCACCAGGCTTCGGGACCATATCACTCCCACCCTCGCTCGCCTCCACTGGCTCCCCATCCCCCAGAGGATCGAATTCAAGATCCTCATCCTCACCTCCAAGGCCATTCACGGCCTTGCTCCCTCCTACCTCTCTGACCTACTATCCCCCTACCTACCTGCCCGTACCCTCCGTTCCTCTGGCTCCGGTCTGCTACACATCCCCCGCCCCAACCGCCCTACCATCAGTGGCTGGGCCTTCAGCCTCTCAGACCTTAAGCTCTGGAACTCTATCCCCCAGTGCCTTCGCCGCCTCCTCCCTTTCCTCCTTCAAGGCCGGTCTCAAGACCTTTCTCTTTGACCGTGCCTTCAGCTCCCCTCTCGACTCTCTACCCCCTCGTCGCTCCCTCCCTTCCCTCCCCTCACCCTGATCATTTCCCCCCTGTTCGGGTCCTGACCCAACTGTACAGCGCCTTGGGATGTCCTCCCGACGTGAAAGGCGCTCTATAAATGGAATCTTGTTGTTGTTGTACACTCTTAACAACACTGGGACAAAATTTTAGATATTCCCTAAAATATTCTTTGTCTTAGTTAGCCTTGCAGATTGACACAGTCTCTGAATATTATATTTTATGTTTGACAGACAGAGTTACAGGACTATTGGCTTATATTGGGTTGGTTCGATTCTAATGAGCACCATTGTATTCTTGCCTGGAAACCTTGTTGGTAAGAGCAACACATTTCTCTTTTAGCCCCCACCCCACCACCCCTCAATATGTCAGAATGTCTTTTGACAATTTACATAGCATATTGGATGTTGATGTCACAGAAACATATTGGTAAGCAATCAAGTCAGGATTATGTAACAGAGAGGATACAAAGGGAGGTGTGGTTGAGACATTAAACCCATCTGCCTGTTCAGATGGATGTTAAAGCTCCTGTGGCATATTCCAAAACATCAGAGAACTTCTCCTAATGTCCTGGCTAGCAATTTTCCCAAGTAAATTGATCAATCACTTCATGCTTGTTTGTGGGCCATTGCTATGCACAAATTAGCTATTGGTTTTGCCTACAGATACAGTCACTCACACTTGACTGCAATTCCCTGTGAAGCTCTTTGAAAAATATTAGGGTTATAATAATAATAATAATCCTTGTTTGATATAGCGCTTTTCACGTCTTCTCGACGTCTATATTTCTCTATTTCTCAACGTCTCGGGTTCTATATCAAATGCAAGGAATACTATGATTAGGCAAAATTGAAGATTTTTAAAGAACGAAACATCAGAGCAATAGACTATGATTTTGTCCAATGGTTCCTTACTGAGTGCGAAACTCCTCATTTATGAGTGTAGCACTCCTCATGTAGCAGCATTCTGCTTTCATTCCATCTCATAGAAGATAATTGATGCAATACATTTGGAATATTTAAACTCCAAACATTGAAACTATGCATTGTCCCATTTCCTGAAAATGAGGATAAATGAAAATATTAGCATTGTAAAACAAAAGGCATAACAATTAGCCTGGCCCATCTAATTTGGACTGGCAGCAACATTAAACAAGGTTGTTGGGAAAGAAAGATGGGTACTCTGTTACCATAACATTTGCAATTTTGCACTCAGACGCTTAATTTTTCTTCTTTATTTTTGACGCATTCAATAGGTAAATATGCCACAAAATTAAATCCAGCCAGTCTCCTGAATATTCCTTACATTGTTCTTCCTATCTGGGCTGGTCATCGAATTTATAAACAACCTTTGAAGAATGAATCCACACCCAAGGTTAGTGACTCACAATAACTATCAGATATTTACATTACGAATTGAAACTTGAGATCTTAAATCATGGGATAAGCCATGGACAATCTCCTATCTGAGGGTAGGTCGTGCATAAATACAGCCAAATTTCTCTATATTTATCCAACAAAAATCGAATTCCCTTTCAAATACTTTAATGGGTTATGCTACAATAACCATTTGTTGTAAAGCATTTTATGTTCCAACAGTTCTCTATCTAAAAATAGTTCTAAGCTCTTAGTGAATACATTAGTTTCTACTTGTTCATACCCAACTGATAAAAAACTTTAAGTTTTATCCCTGTCTTGCTTTTTCACACGCTATGATTGATTTGCTTCGGAATTTCCACCATAAATACTTTACAAATGTTTATCCTTTTTTAAAGGAATTAGTAAATATAGCATCAGTCGCCTTTTCTGGGAGTCGGTTCTCATAAATTTATGATTGAACGCAATGATTTAAAAGCTTCTTTAGATCAGTTTTTACAATGAATAAAAAATAATTATAATGAGCAATTATTAAGAAACCTCTCAGGCAAATGTTAAAAGGTCTAGCCAGGAGCTTTCCTTAAAAAAGTCTTCCTGGCACTGTTCAGTTTATTTCTGTATATGAGTGTCATCATTGCTGTGCTATTTTACATGTTCTTTGTGAGCTATCAAATCTAAATGTGGAATGTAGAACATAAATGTTTCTAAGGGGAACTCTAAGTGTTTAGATTTGAAAAGCAGCTAGGCTTGCTTTAGCTCCCTTATTGTGTTTGAACATGTAGCCAGACAAGCACAAAACATCCTAGAATCTGTGCATTTGTTTGCTATCAATTATACAGAGGATGATTCAGGATTTAAAGTCATTATTTATTCATAGAATAAAAATTCCAGGAACTTGGAGGCCTATTCTTTATGACAATAATATGGGAATAAAATCAGGAGACGGTGGAATGCAAATCCAAAAAATACATGTATATTTCATATATAAGTCCTTTTTTTTAAGAGGGGCATGAAAATTGAAAGTCATTTCACAGATATAATTTTTTTAAAAATAGAAATAACAGAAGGCTTCTATGTGGCAATCAGTCTAAAATGAGACTATAACATGTTAGCAGTTCAATGAAAGATGGGATTTGTTTCCTGTAGTACCTGGTGATCAAAGATGTGTTAAGGTTCAACTTATTTTTTAATAATGGTCATAAGGCAATATCCACGTCTTTCTGAAGTCATTGAACTACGGAAGGAGATTGTAAGTCTAAAGAGAAGAGTCACTAGCCACCAGCCGAGAGGAGGTCACAAGGTAGTCTATATTCTTGGTAAACTTCATGTTGTAGGGAGCCTCATTAAGTTGCAGAATGAATATTTCTCTTTGCGTCAGCCAAGAAGGCTACAATATACTCCATAGCTTCTTTAATACTCACTGGACCAATTCCATCTGTAGCCTGCAGCTTCCCTGCCACTTTGACGGAAGGCTGAGCATCATTTGTTGAAATCGTCCATCTGCTCCTGTTGTTCAGAGAGGGCACCATTGCTTTGTTCGTCAGGTGTAGTTGAGGGGAGGCAATAATTCCAAGCACCATGGTCTTGCAGATACGATGGGGATTACAGGATCAGCAAAAGTGAAGTAGGATCCTGGAGGAAAGAAGAAACAGCTGTCAGGGTGTCAGCCAAGAGATGCTGGGGTACATTCGAAGACTTTCCATAAGTTTCACACACGACAGGATAGGGAGCCACTATGGAGATCACAACATATCTCTTAGCGATCAGTGATGGCATACATTTTGAAGAAACATTCTTCCCTTGCTAATGAGATCCAAATATCCTTCCTAAAGTATGAAACCACATCCAGGTAGATGATTTGGGATGCTCATTTGGATATTTCGAAGAACTGCTTTTATTGAAGCAAAGGAACTGTTCTCATCTGTCAGCTGATCTAGTCTCAAAGCAATCGTTTTAATATATTAAAAATGTCTTCATGTGAAAGTTGTGAGTTACATGTTGTTGTCGTTGAATCAGCTCTATAAAAACATCGGTGATACTGTAGAATATTGGGCATCATACTTGGAAGAATGCTTATGTTAAAATTAGAAGTTTAGCTTGTAAAACTACTTGTGCCACAGATTTTAAACAAGATGTTTCCATGTGGATCTATTTCTTACAGAAAGTTGGGAACAATTAAATGTAAAAATAACACACTGGTTGATTTGAAGCAAAAGCCAATTTTTCCTATTGTTTCAGGCTATTGAAACTGCTCAGAAGAAGAATTTGCTACGGAGACCCCTAGACCTATTATTTACCATCTATCTCCTGTTTGCCATCGCGTTCAGTATCTTCAGAGGATTGGTAAGAAAAGTATAATCAGTGGTACTTTTTAAAAAAGTAACCAGAATAACATATTGATGCTTAAAAATGCCAAAATGTTTATGTACTACGAGATAACTGCTTCAGAAATCTGACTTTACTCTTTGTGAAGTTACTGCAAATTTATTAGCCTTTTTTCAGTAATGTACTTAAACATTAATTCATTTTTATAGCTTTAGAATTAATTTAACAGCAAGTGCAAGCAAGAAATTTATTGTAAATCGTGCAATAAAGATCGAAGGATGGAGTCTGTTTATTTCCAAGATAATTTGCTTGCAAGGTGGAGAGCATTGTGTTCTGTTCAAAAATTGTATTGAGTTTGACATTCTTTCCTTCTGTGACTTCACAAGTCTGACGCACCATTTTATTGACACTAGGTAGTTTTGGATTGTCCCATTGAGATGTCTCGACAATACCTACAGCAACAAGAGCCATACCTGAAAGATCCTGCAGCCTACCCAAAGATACAGGTGAGGCCGGCTTGAGATTGCAGTCAATTGGCAAGCTAAATTTATGCAATAAAAAATCCTACATTTTATATTGCACTTGTCATATCAGGGGAACATCTCAAAGCTCTTTACAGGATGTATTGCAAAGTACAGTTACTGTATTTTGTACAGGCAAACAATTTGCATACAGCTGAGCCAGATTGACACCTCAATTTCTTTCTTCAGACGGTGCTTAATATGCTTAGTACCACAGATAACCAAATGTATTGTTTAATGACTGATCCAACTTATACATTATAATGATAAAACTGCTAAATTGGGAGCTGGTCTAGGTGCCAGAGCTAATCTCATCTCAGGAATAACACGTGCATTTTGATATGACTTGCAATTTTCAACTGGAGTTTCGAACGTGGAGTTTCAAAAACATTTTAGCTTCCTGAGTGAGAGGAGTGGAGGATTCTTCTTGTTTTTTTACTTTGGGGTTGACCAGATGAAGCAATGGCCTTCACTAGTCCTGTACAATTCTGTATTAACGTAATATCACACAACATCCATATCAATCAGTGATCAGTGTGAGTGTTAGAGACTTATCGTCCAATATGTTAGTGTCTGTCTGTCTGTCTTCAGGATCATGACTAGAATAGCACAAGATTTGCCAGCCTTCAAGCCAGATCTCAGTATTTTATGGCAGCCACATAAGCATTGCAACTGGACCTCAATACATTAGTAGAAAACAGCTTGCACTGAATATCATCAGTGAAACTTTATATTGAGCTTCTCCCTGGAATCTGCTCTTTATGTACAGTTTGTTAAGTGTAGAGTTATATGTCACTTGATAAACTAGGCTTTCTGGAGCAAACATAAGACAATGGGACAGCTCTGGACTAACACAAATTACGTCAGATCATTCACATATATTTCTCGATGTAGTTGACTCAGACTGGATTTCTCTGTTGTGTTGCCCAAAATAGAGGCAAATAAACAGTGTTGAAGGTAACTGGCCACAGTACTGTTTTTTGAGGCCTGATCATTATTCCTCTTCAAAATTGTTTTTTTCTTTCCATTTCAGATGTTGGTGTACATGTTTTACACTGTCCCTTTCTGCATCATTTCCCTTTATGGTCTTTCAGTTCCTGGGTGTTCTTGGCTGCCTGACTTTGCTCTCCTTCATGCTGGAGGACTTGCACAGGTAATAAAAATGCTTTTGCTTTAGATTTCTTTTCATCTGATTCTTGTGCGATATTGTACAGCAGAAAGCTTTTTAAAAGCAAAGGTAAGTGTCATTAACAAAGTGTGCCCTCACCCACTCCCTTCCTGACAGCAATTACTGATAGTGAGGTATGTTTCCACAGCACTGATGGTGCCTTGGTTAAATGGTTATTCCTCAAGTGTGATTATTGGCATGGCTATTGAACTATCAGGGATCATCAAGGAAAAGCCTACTATTTTCCACACATGCACTTTTCAGTAGAGGATCACTGAACAGCAACAACAGCAATTACAACTTGTATTTATATAGCGCCTTTCATGTAGAGCAACATCTTGGCCTCAGTGAATGACTGAGGGAACCTATTCCCCTCTCTGCTGATACATGTTTGAAGGGTGATCCACAGGTGTTTTGCCCACAAAATACACAGTCAAACCACTTTTCAGGATATCCTGTGAAGCTCTTTGAAACATCTCGATGACGTGAAAAGGCTCTATATCAAATGCACGGATTATTGTTGTTTTTATCATCATTCTCCCCCTTTTGCTTTTACTCCCTTCCCAGGCTTCTAATGAGGCCATGAGCTGCCAACATTGAGAAACTGCAGTAAAAGGACAGCTTCTTAACCCACTGCTGATGCCACTGTTTAGGGTGAATGTGAAGGTCACTTGGCACAGAATCTTCTCCTAGCAGAGCCTGTTTCTTTTCAACTTTCCTTCTTTCTCAGACGTCCATTTTAGGCGAAGAAATAATAAGCATAAACAGATCTTGAAATAATAATGAGAGGAATTGGAGAGCTCATTGCTTTGTGTTGAGTGGCAATGACTCTAATAACCCTTTCAAAGTGCTGAATTTAGCTGTCCTTCAGTGTGATCTTGGAAAATATTTGCGATACATACTTCGTCCGTTTGCTGCATATTGTTGCTATCTCTCCTCTTAGATTGTGTGACTAACTCTCAGCTGAGGAATTCTAACACCTAAGATCAGCTCCTGCCAAAAAAACGACACATAGTGCAAATAAGCAAAGCACATTTTAGGAATTGAACTGCTCTCTTTTTTTTAGAAAAGCTCCCTTTTATCAATTTCTCAGCCAACAAACTATGAACACGAAGTGGAATAAGAGAACTAAATTTCTATATGGTCACAAGTCTTACAAGATGGAGGCTATTTAGCTACAGAACCCTTCTGACTAAGTGACATCTCCACACTAGGAAAAAGTACATCACATTTTGATATCTGGCTTATCCCAACAAAACTTCTCAAGGTATCGACCAGACTGACCTCTGTCCAAGAACTGGCCTTGATCACACTCCATTCGGACCATCCTTCTCCCCAGCCTAACATTATCCTTGTAATAGAAAGAAAATTGAGGGGGGACATGATCCAGGGGTTTAAGATGACCAAAGATATAGATGGAATAGAGAAGCAAGCAAGATACTTGGCTTAAGACTGTCAGAGCAGGTTTAAAATTAAAGAGGCTCTAAAGGGGTTAAAAATTAGGGACTCATCACATTGCAATTGATATCCAGAGTGGACGCAAAACTGTTTTATCAAGTTAAAAGCTGGACATTTGCGGATTCTAGTTTACAATATTCCAAGCATTGTAGCAGGCAAGAGTTCAGTAGCTTTTGACTCTGTGTTATTGAGATATGGTTGTGTGAGGAGCAGGCTTGCTTTAAGACTGAATTAGTTCAATGAAACCTTTCAGATGTTACAGACAGTCATAATGGAACATTAGCAGATCGCATAATTCACAAATAGAGGTTCAATAGTGCTGTTTGTCTGTTAGATTGCTGAAGTGTTCTTTATTGTGTATTACCCCAATATAACTACAGTGGTTCACAAGGACACTTCATGGTGTTTTTTTCCCCAGCAGATTCGACTGCCACAATTTATCATGCTGCTTTCTGATACCAGAGCTGCATGATTAAATAATGCAGTATATCCAGTTAGATCATTGTCATCATGCAAATACTATGATACTTAAATTACAGTCTGGGAAGCATATTTCTATGTGGATACATTTGCCAATTATTGCAACAGAAATAATGCACTCTTTTAAAATGTAAGCTCCAGCTCACAAAGCCTAGTTCAAATATTGGGAGGCTAACTGTGTGGATAGTGGACTTGGCCACTGTCCAATAGCAGTGCATTTGCTGAAGATTTTATCTTGGTTTCCGTTGACTGCAAAAACAAATCTTTATTGCTTAAATATATAGATTAAAGTGCAGTGATCCATATTGAGGATTAAGACTTTTCTGTTTGGTATCTAAAGATCAGAAAGAGAAGGGAATAGAGTGGTATAGTATAGGCAGGGAAATCGGATGGGTGATAATGTACACAAATGCAAAGGATAGGATGAGTTTATTGGGATTGTGTTTTACATCATACAGATTGCCTCAATTTACTTTATTTGTAACACTGAAGTCTGACAGGTTTAGAAGGCTTAACCTTCATTTTTAAAATCCATCCTATACAAGTACTCCAACCCGCCTCTTAAAATAGATTCCATTGTTTAAAATTATTTCTGTGAGGTTAATGGGTCTGTGCTACCCTGGATTAGTTTTGACCTATTTATAAAATATGCTTCCACAATTCTGCCTAACAGTTCCTCCATACAGCTAACTAGCAACACACAGATTGTTTTCCTGGTTATCTCCAACACTTTCCAGTTAGGACAGCCCTACAACAACAACTGCAACATGCACCTATATTGCGCCCTCCACCCTGGGTAGTCTCAGAGTGTCTCACAGCCCTAAACCACACAGGATTAAAGGGCTGTCTACACCTTAAAGTTTCATCGATTAATTAAACACCTAACAATGCCTTGAATTTCCAGGGTGACCCCACTTACCCCTTGTCCATTCTGTATTTCCAAAACCTAAGCATACCTGAATAAACAGGGAAAGAATGTAGATCAGGAATTCAAATCCTAAGGCCTATAAATGGAATGAAGGTTGGAAGAAAATGATGAGCTTTTTTTTGAAGAGCGGGGGATGAAAGAAAGGAGACATTGAGACTGGGAAAAGTGAGATCAAGGTTGGGATACCATCGTGGATTTAGGTAAACTAAACTTCAGGAAGAAAAATGTAAGCTGAAGTTGGAGTTGTACATCCCAACAGAATTAATGGATCTCAAGAGATTTATTTCACTGTAGATCTTATTTTTGATGAAGCAGGCAAAAAACAATGACATACCCAAACACCCTATCTTAAATGTCAGCTATCTACAATAAAAATAGTTGTGCAGACCTTGTCTTTTTGAAGTGCAATGTTTCTGAAGGTGCAAATCCGGGTAACCACTTCCCTTAGCATCTCCATTAACTTTGGCTAACTTTTAAGTGAACTTGTTTTTGATTTAGAATTTTTTTTCTCTTTAATAAAAACATTCAAATGGCCATCAACAACAACAAGATTACATTTGTACAACCTCTTTCACAGTCGGGTAGACGTCCCAAGGAGCTGGACAGTGTTCAGCAGTTCAGACCTGAGCTGGTGTCAGGGAGGGAGAAGGGAGGGGAGGGGACGGGGGGTGACCAATGGAATGGTTGAAGAGGAGGGTTTTGAGGCGGGACTTGAAGGAGGCTAAGGAGGGGGCGAGGCAGAGTAATTGGGGGATGGAATTCCAGAGGTTGGGGGCAGAGTGGCTGAAGGCTCTCACGCCAATGATGGGGCAAGTGGGTCAGGGAACATGGAGCAGGCCAGAGCCGGCTGAGTGGAGAGAGCGGATGGGTTGGTAGGGGAATAGGAGGTTGCAGAGGTAGAGTGGGGCGAGGCCATGGAGGGCTTTGTAGTTGAGGACCAGGATCTTGAACTGGATCCTCTGAAGGATAGGGAACCAATGGAGTCGGGCAAGAATGGGGGAGATGGGGTCACGGAGTTTGGTGCGGGAGAGGACACGGGCTGCAGAGTTCTGGATTATCTGCAGCCCGTGGAGGGAGGAGTTGGGAAGGCCAACAAGCAGGGCATTTTCATAGTCGAGCCTGGAGATGATGAAGATATGAACAAGAGTTTTAGCGGCCTGAGGGGTGAAGTAGTGGCGGAGTCAGGCGATGTTACGGAGCTGAGGGAAGGCCGAGCGGGTCATGACTTTGATCATCAGTCCTCCAGATATAACCAATCATTCACTTCCTGGCTGTTGTTGTCTGCAAATTGGCCTGTAAATACAGCCACTAAACTTTAGAGTAATTTCTGTGAAGCATTTGGGCATCAATCATTGATGTGATAAGGTACTATATCAAGTACAAGGATTATAGTAATATTAATAATCCTTGCATTTGATATAGAGCCTTATCACGTTTTCGAGACATCTCAAAGTGGTTCACAGAATATACTGTAAAGTTGAGTGACCATATATTTTGTGGGCGAAACGTGGCAGCCAATTGCGCACAACGATGTTCCAACAGTTGTAGATTGAGTGACCAAATTCATTGGTTTCAGAGGAGGTCAGAGTATGTAACATATTATTATATTATTGTTATAATTGCNTTTTTCTCTTACCCCTCCTGTCCTAATAACAGGCACAGTTTTCCCATATTGGAGCATCCCTTCATTCCAGAACCCCTTATGCGTACAGAGTACTAGAGGAAGCCCAGCTGTTCTTTCTAATAATAAATGTACTTTATGGCTTGATGCCACAGTTGTTAGCCTACAGATGTGTCAACAAGCCCGAGTTCTTTATGAAGGTACAAGAGGACCCGAAGACAAAGTAAAGTCTAAAGATGGTAAATGTTTTGTCAAGCTTGCATAATTTGTTTGCTTATTATGCTGCCACATGACTTGGGAGTGAATTGTTTAGGCAAGCTCTGCAGTGCTTTGCTCCGTGTTAATGAAACTCATTTTCTAGTTTGGTTTGAACACTGTGTTTCAATGTTTTACTATTGTTGAAAAGATTGCGCGGTCAAATTACAATATAAGTGCAAAGCACCAACTTCCTTAATTTGCTGTCTATATAGTATGTTATGGGCTTGCCTCTAATAATAGCCATAGATCCAGTGCTCAAATGGATGTTTACAAAAAAAATTTATTTGAGTGGGCAGAGGTACAGTATTAAACCAGAGTAGTTTGTTTTTATATAGTGTAAGTTATGCAGTTAGATTGATTTCTTAATGTTAGTTTTCTGTTCTGTATTGCAATATAGCCATTAGTTATATGAACATACACTTGCTGAGCATATATATATATATATGCAATGTGTTTATATATAGCTAAGTGTGTTCCCTTTAATCAGAATTCAGTGGTGCTACAGGTTTCTCTATGAAAACCTCAATGGTGCAGAAATGGGTTAGAGACAGAGGGAGGAAAAGAAACGACCTCACTAAACTGAAATGCTTGAAATATAAAACACTGGTGTTATAATAATAATCATTATGTTTGTAATAGGGATTTCACATCAGGAGAATGTCCCAAAGCATTATATTATAGGATATACTAGAAAATGGAGTGACTGTGTGTTTTGTGGATGAAGAAATTATCGTGACATGATCAACATTCAACTCTTCATAAAAAAGTGACCAAATTAACTTTAATACCATCTCATATTAAATCTATATATATATTAAAAAATGGCATCAATGACATTGGGGTAATCTGACATTCTCACCTAACAGCCAGACATTCAGGTAAATTGCTGATTTATGCTGAGAGTTGGATCTGAAACACAAGTATCACAGAGCGGTATAAAGCAGGGTGACCATATTTTGTAAACCAAATCTAGGGATACATATATAAAAAAAATGAACTCAACACAATTCCGAATGCTAGCAGTACCGGAGAAGTTTGTTGGATTAATGGCTGTATTTCTCTGATGAGTGTCTCTGTTGGAGAGTTTTATTGTTCTTGCTCAGTTTGTTGCTGTACACAAGACAGGGCAAATTTGATCAGACACAATATCTCATGTGGGGACTGTCTCTGGAAATCGGGGATGTATAAACACCGTAAAGGCTCAATGGGAGTCATGGTTTCATCCCATTTACCTGATGTATTTCACCTGCATAATTGTACTCCACCCCACCCCCCACCCCAAGGGTTTCTAAGCCCAGAGCTGTGCTGTTGAAGCAACCGTATAAATCCAGTTGATGTGCCAACACAGATTCACTTGGTGAGCCCTAATTATGGCACTGTGACTCAGAGCAAACATAAAACTGCCATTCTCTGCTGATATTCAGCTCCCTCAGGTGGCCAAACTCAGCAACTTCTCAAAGACTGCTCCCAGGAAAGCTTTCTGCCAATGTTAAGGATATTGTAACTATAGCTGAGTGATTTTTACCTGACAGCAGTAACAATTTTATTTTGCTGATTTTCTCCAATCTTAATAGTATAAGCATCCACAGACCCGACCCTGGATACTGGTACCTTCTGGGGGAGGGTTTTAGAACCAGGCAATGAGTGGCTGTTGAGGCTGAGACCAGAACCACATTTGAAAGGGAAATTGAAGATTAGAAGTGGAACAATCTGAAATAGACGGGGGAGCAAGCAGGGAATTGGTTAGCTCCAACGGAGAGCGAGCACCTGCAAAGGCTTGTTGGCCAAATAATGATAATAATAATCCTTGCATTTGATACAGCGCCTTATCAAGTCTTCGATACGTCTCAAAGACTTTACTGGCATTTTTAGCTAAATACTAGGGCATGTGAAAGGCTACTCAATATAGTTAATGGTCTCTGCTTGCATTTAATGTTATTGGTATAATACTTCTATTTCACATCGCATCTGTTCAAGTCAACATACAGCCAACACATTTTAAACACGGCTGGAGTTCTTCACGCACCTGTCACCTTCACGCAACCAATTGAGGTTGCAAAAAAAATATAAGTGATTCTCCGCAACACAGTAACAAGTCATCTCTGTTAAGGCTCATTCCCTTGCGCTTTACCGGTGATGTTTTGTGTCGGGGTGGGGGGGCTTTTTTTTTGGCAATAGAAATGACAAGAAGAAGATTTAAATATTTTAATCTGGAGGTTATTGGCTTTGCAACAGAATAGCTACCAAGTGCTCAGTGAGTGAAGTTACAGCTTTAGTAGTAACCCATTACTCCTCGCTATAGGGCCAACTAGCCTGGTGCTTCGGTAATCTCGTGTCCTCCACAAACATTCAGCCGGCTGCAAAATAAATAACGCCAATATTCGTGCATTCCATAAATTTATTCTACAAGTCATTTCTGAACAGGAGTAGAACAAGACATTTTTGTAAAAGGTACTAAATAAAATGCTTTAAAAAATCCTGTAAAACGGATGGCACACGTAGGAATAAAACTTGAGCTGATTACAAGAAGAAAAAAGTTTATTTTTCACATTTAAAGCAAGCATCAAAAAAATAAATATTGTATCCTTTCCCCCCCCCCCACCCCCGATAACAGAAGAGCAAACCTAGTATAAGAATGCTTTTGTAAAGTATGTATGAAATGTTCTTCACACAGTTCCAGAAGGGTAGAATGTAAAATAAAAGGCATTTTCTTGTTTTATTGGCAGCCATGTGTGTAAAACTATAATTGATAGCATGACGAAGAAAAGCCTGCACAAACCGCAAATCTGATGTCGACAATGGCAGAAGCAATGATTGTATGTATGTAAAATCCAAGAATACTTGACAGCCATAGGAGCTGCTTCCTCAGTGGTCTAGAGGCCAGTGTTCCGATTATTAGGTCTGAAATGAAGAATTAAGACAATTATTCTACATTAATAACAGCAATAATAAGCTTTCAATTTAACATGGCAACTTTCATGTCAGCAGGACATCTCGAAGCGTTTCACAGGATTTTACTATAAAGTGTAGTGAAGTAGGAGGCGAACAGCTCTCGACAGTATCATTCTGATAGAATGAAAAAAAGTAGAGTGCTTTATAACACTTAATAATTTCTAAATTGTGGTGTTTTCTTAATGGGGTATGTTAGTAATGACTCCAGAGACACACAAAGACAATCCTGACAGTAACTTGAACTGCTCCTGTTGAGGCATGGGAAACCTTGGTCTGTTGTGTTCGGGAGTAGATTGTGGAATTCCTTTGGTCAGCTCGATGAGTTTCTGGTTAGCAGCACACAGATTATTCTCTATGTATGACTCTGAAGGGGTTATTAGGGAATCCTGTTCTGAACCACCCCAAATAAAACCCCAATATATGCCAAATAAAATATATGCCCGATGACTTCTAACGATAGTCATCTGGGTTCCACAAACTATCTCGCAGTTCTCAATTCTGGGGGGAAAAAAAACATCAACTAAAGCTCATTAGTAAACATTTAAAATAAATGGCCTTTTATTTCCATTCTTAAAATTCCATTCAGACTGACTGGGTGCATTGAATTCAGTCTAAACAACTGCCTTAATCTCTCCAGAAACAATAAATATCATCTTTGTTTCAACTGAAGATGTTTCTAGCTTTATTTAACCTTTAAAAAATCTCCCAAAGGAATCAAGATGTTGCCTCTAATGCTATCAATGTCTTAAGGTTTTTAAAAATGCTTCTTCAATTACCAAAATGGAGAACAGTCAAATGATTTTGTTTTCATGACTGTGTTTTGCTTGATCTCTAGAACTGAATTAAAAATTCTTGTTCAAGCCTTCAGTAGATTACTTGCTATTTAAGTAAAATATTTATTATTTATGTAAAATTAAGCTTTTGCTTTACTGAAGCGTTTTGTGAGTACATAGAGTGCTTTAATACTCATTGTCATGTGAAATTCCCATCCAAAGGAGATTTAAGCTGTCTTCATGCTGAACAGTCGATGGCAAATCATCATGCATTTTGGCAGCAATTCAACAAAAGCAACAGTGATGACTTGCATTTATATAATTATACATTTATATGGTGGCCTTCAAGTAGGATAACATCTGAGTGCTGTGCTAGGATGGGATGGGATACTGAGCAGGGGAGAGATGGGGAACCATTGGTGATCACCAGCATAGTTCAAGGGATAGGCTTTAAGCAGTAGGACTTAAAGACAGATAGAGATGGAGCAAAGGGAGGGTGTTCCAGAGGTAAAGGGTGTCGGATCTGAAAGCTCAGCCACTGATGGTGGTGGAGATGGTGAGAGGAGGCATAGCAAGCCTGAGTTTGCCGAGAGGAAGGGACAAGCAGAGAGGGGTGGAAGAACATTAGAGAGATCGGGAAATTCAGTACCAAAAAGTACAAATGGGAACTCAAGCAGTGAGATTCATGCTGGAGCCCTGATTATTACAATTTCCACCCGCACAGCATAAACAATGTGAATCACACTGGACTCGCTCCCCCATTGTCCACGCAAACCGATCAACATCTTTTAAAGAGGCAATTGCACTTTAACAAACAACACTTAAAAAAAATTCCGTGCACTTTTCTTTTCTTCCCCCCCGCCCCCCCCCCACCGCCCCCCATTCAATGGAGAGCGGGAAATCAAAATAAGGAGTATCAAGGTATTTTTATTAAACAATGGATTTGAGTTTAAACCGACAGCTAGACCACGGCGATTTGAATCTGGAGCTTTGAGATTCACCAATGTTAACAAAAGAAAAGTCTGCCACCACCAGAATGGGTGGCTTAGAATTTCAGCTGTACAGAAATGTGGCACTGCTGCTGTAAACTGCGTGTAAAGCAGTACAGTTCCAGGCGTGTACATTTTCTGCTGTTGGGATCAGTGCTCTGTGTGGATTGATTGACACCCGTGGAAATAAACCCGAGTTTAACTATTGCAGCAGCAGCACTGTGGGGACTTGTGTTTATTAAAACTGTGCATTAATCTGTCTTCTAACAGTGCATGATCTCCACATCATACCAGGCTGGGGAGCCAGGGGGCAGTTTTATTGAAGCATTGGAGGAGCTGATAACAGATCAGTAACATTTGTTATGTCAGATTTGAACCTATTAATAGCACTGCCTCTGAGGATGCTTTGCCTACACTTGATTTGTCGGCCCAGACATAAAAGTGTTCTTCAAATACATTTAAATAATCTGATGAACACTCATGGACTAGCGCGCCTTAACTTCCACTCCATTTGCTGAATGCAAGATTTTTCCTCATTTGTTTGTTGTCTGCATTTTTGGGTAAGTGGATCATCCAGGAGTAACAACTGTAGGACAAAAAAATCAGTGGGACGACCTATCCTCTTAAGACTACAACACCCTTATCTTTTTTCCCCTCCTAATCCACATCTACTCCCAAATTCAAAACAATTCATCTTAACGTTCATGGGACATTGCTGGTGCAGATTAGTCGCCATGTTTATACTTATACAACCACATTAGCCTTCATTAAAAATAGAAAATATACAGACAATCCACTTCACAATATATTCTGTGAAACACTTTGAGACGTCTCGACGATGCGCTATATCAAATCCAAGGACTATTTTTTACTTATTATTTATTTTGAATCGGTTATATTTTGTAAAGTGGTTTGAGAAGTTTCCTTTTTAAATGAAAAGACATTACATAAATGCAAGTTAGTACTATCATGCTCCGCATCGCTGACTCTGCTTCCCATCGGGTAGTTCCCGTGGGTCAGCATGATGTACAATACTTGTGGCTCAATGTCCTCATTAGGAATCACTGCATTGTGGATCTCACTGTTGGGGGAGCTACGTATTTATTCTAAGTTATGACTTCCAACAACTTCCGAAATTAATTATGTACAATATAGTTTGCAGTAATGAGCAGCAACCTACGCCGAGAGTAACGTTAAACTCTCTTACCGCTTCATTCATTTTCTGATGTTCAGCAGCGTTTTTTGTATCACAAACTGCCTCCCCTGCTTCTGAACCGCTCTTATTTTCCTCCTCCTTGGCATCTTTGTCACCTTCTTCACCTTCCTGATCGGAGGATTTCCGTGACTGCTTTGCAGATTTCTGAAAATCACACCAAGCAGGCGATTTAAACAAACTCATCCTCCGTACTTTGGCACTGTCAAGAACATTCCAACAATATTGAATAAGGAAAGCACATTTGGTCCAACAAGTCCACTCTTTCAACAGACTATGTACATATAGACAGTTAATCTTTGGAGGTTCTTTTGTGCAATTCTTCAGTATTCATCCATCCTTAATTCACTATTCAAGGCAAGATAATTTACCAGAAGAATCTTATTACAGTATCTATTTACACATGCACAACTCAAATGACAAGAGTAAACAGGATTTGATAAGTTGCTCGTACCAGCTCTTCTGCTTTCCTATAACTTTGTGCTTGTTGTTCATGGTGTGTTAACTACCCACTGTCAGCTGTGCATAAGAGCTGGTACGAGCAACTTATTCCAATTACTCCATACAAAAAAAGAATGGGAATTAGTGCGTCACAGTAAGACAATCTCCATTAACAGACTCGAGTCCAAGACTCAATATTTTCTATGGAGTCCAGCCTTCTCAGTGGGCCATATTAAACCATGGGAAATAATAATAATATAAAACATAATAATAATAATGATAATAATAAATAATCCTTGCATTTGGTATTGCGCCTTATCATGTCAGAAGGCTGTCTCAAAGTGTTTCACAGGATTTACTGTGAAATGAAGTGAATGTGTATATTTAGGCAAATGCAGCAGCACAATTGTGCACAGCAATGTTCCCACAAACAGCCATGAAACAAGTGACCAATTCATTATTTTGCTCTCTTGCCTTCTTTAAGCATAAAAAAGGGAAGGGAATCAGCATTAAATCCCAGCTCAAATAACATACAGAAGGACAGCCTGTGATTTTATTTTGGTCAGCACGGTGCCTGACACACATGGAAATCCATCGTCATATTCAAGGGGGTGTCTGAGAGTTCCACGTGAAAGATGGCCCATTTTATCATTCAGAAAGAATAACACTTAGCTACCTTATTTGTATCATTTTAACTGATAACTAACAGAATATCAATGCATCCTCCAATGATGTAATTGACATGATCCGACCGGGATAACCTTTCAAGAAGGCTACTGGCAATTCCTTGATAATAATAATAATCCTTTTTGATTTCTCTTTAAAGACATTTGGCGTTTTAATTGTTCCAGGCTTAACGCTTCTTTGGGATCATCATTACACACTGCTGTGGCCATGATGGAAAAGAGCATATATCATTTCCAAGCAAAATGAGTTTTATTGGCTGTTCTCTAGGTTACCGAGTCGCATACTTTGATGAATATTCACCATCACAGTTCAGCACAAAATATGCTGCTATATGGAAAATGGTTCTCCAGCTGACTGATGATTTAGCACTACCTGCTGTGTTGCATTGTGCAGTGACCAATATTTCACACTCCTCTCATTACAACACTGATGAATTCTTCCAACGACCAAGTTTTCCTTCGCCCTATTGGAAGTTGTTAGAATGTTTCAAAACCTTGATACACATGATATATTCCAAGGTCCGAGTTGAGGAGCTCTTAGAAAGAAATGAAGAGACGATGCAAAAATAGATATTTCCCGACACATTTTATAAACACTGCATGTATAGTTACACTTTTGTATCCCCTCAACAACCACCAAGGAGATAACTTGGTTGCTCAACTCCTGGGCTGCTGTTATGCTATCTGACTGGCGTTCAGGCCAATTTGGGTGGCTGAATGTCAACCTGATATTAGCAATGTAGTTTGACCTGGTTGCTCAAATGACATGCCCAGCTCAATGACAATATTCGCTGGTTAAGATCTCAACCGAGGAGCTACGCAGGGTTAACTCCAGTTTTATTTGACTACAGGAATGTAAATTTCGGTGTCCACACCCCAGTCGCGCTATAAGTGAACTCTTGTTAAGTCGTACTCGGGGATTTCAAAGCAATTATTTCTTGCAAAATTGCACTTTCAATGTAATGCATTTAACAAAGGACAAAATAATAATAATAAACCTTACATTCGATGCAGCACCTTTCACATCGGGAAGACATCTCAAAGCGCTTCACAGGATATACAGTACTTTAAAGTAGAGTAACCGTGTTTTGTGGGCGAATGTCAATGTATTCACACGTGTACACCTGTATATTTACAGCAAATGAAAATGTTCTACTCCTTTACCTTAGAAGAAGCAGGTTTTTTTCGTTTGGATCCTGTTTTTTCACCTTTTCTTTTACCTTTTCCTTCCTCATCTATGATTTCGCCCCCTTCACCTTCACTGCTGGCATCAGCTGTATTCCCTCCTTCTCCTTCTGTTTCTGAAGAACTCTGTTGCTGTATTGCCTGAAATAAACACATAACATTGTATGTGTTTATGATAATACCTAAGTGCAGAACTGAACTGTTCAAAATCAACACACATTCCTAGAAACTAAGGGCATGATATTCCACCTAGTTCAGTGACTTTCATGACCTGCAGTTATTATACGGAAATCCCATTATAGCCACACGTGGCACAACATCACACTTGGTTGCAAAAGGAATTTCACCAGCTAAACGTCCATAGCAATTTTGACACTTCTAATTAGGTCACAATCTGGTCAGTTTGATTTAATCAGGCCTAAACCGAGTTTTCCTCACTGTGTGCTATTATAAGCTCGTTTGTAAAATGACCAGAAGCAAAAATTTGGGTTGGCGGAAATTGATTTTTCCAATCCCAAACTCACAAAGACAGTGAGCAAAATGTACATTTGATGTTTCTTCATTGTCCCTGGAACTCTATCTAATACCATCATGGGAGCGTCACCGCCTAAAGGATTATACCATCTTACAAAGAAAGTCTCCATCATCTATGGACAACGCAGAATGGTAATAAATGCCAGTGTCACCCATAACCGGAGAATGGGTTTAAAAAAAGCTTGCACTTCTGACCAGATAGAAAACTAACATAAACAAACCCAATATTGCCTGACAATTTTATCCTGAGGTGAATCTGGATGGAGAGAATATTGTGAGGACCTGAATTCAGTGTTTAATGAAGTCTTACTCCTTGAGTACATATACTGTATGTCTCTATGAATCAGATACAAGTTGTAACAAACTATTGAAGTTCAGGTACATTACAGCTAATACAAATATTGAAATTATTAGCATAATTATTGGATACAAACAGAATAATTCAGACTTTAGAATGTTTCTCAAAGTTATAGCTGGCAAATAAACTGAGAAGCGACCAGGCATGATATAACATCCACTGAAAAGTGGTAAAACAATAGCATAACGGAAATGGCAAAAAAAATAATTTCACTGGAAATTTGTAATGACAAGGGCCATTAATCATCAGCAACACTTCTTGACCACAAGCTCAAGGTGAGCAGTTAGATAGTGAGCTGCTCAAGCAAGTAACAGAGGAAGAAAGTTGTTTTAAATGATAACAATTCGTGATTACTATATCAGTGATAAGATGAACACATTAGGGATTAAAAGGACAAACAGAATGGCAGGCAATTTCAAATATGTATTTAGTGATCGCTTCTTAACATGTGTGAAGCAGGGTACAAAGGCAAATTATATTTAGCATCCAGTAACACACTAAAAATTGTTGCACGGTAACCAAGTGAGGATCACATGGATATCCTCCTGAATATGACATTGCAATAAAATTGTGGTCAAATGTAACAACAAACATGTTGAGACTTAGCAGAACAAACTCTGACACTACGGAAAGAGCTGTGGGTAAGATTAAATGAGAAGTGAGAAAGGATAGGGGTAAAAATTGCCTCCTGTATATTGGAGAGAAAAAAAACCAGCAGAACAAGAACCACAGTAGCCGAGCAAGATTAAAAATACCCTGAAAACTAAAAAAAGTTAAAGGATGAAAATAGCAGTGCTAAACCTGAATAAAAATATCAGCTTAGGAGAACTAATTCACTTATTAAAAAGGACATCAAAAAATGTATAACAGCAAAACGATCCATAGACATATTCAGCAATGGAAAAGATGAAATGTTACAGAATAAACAGGTTCTTTCAGAGGCAAATTGAGCATCCAAAAGTAGAAGACAAAAAGCTAACTGTTGAAAAGGTTAAAAGATCAAAAACCTGAGAATTCTTATGGTTATCTTTTGCCAGGATGCATCAAGTGGGTCATCAAAGCATCAAGCCTGACCCGCTTCCCTTTTTAACATGCATCTGGAATGGAGATACAGTCAGCAGATTAAAGCATCTTGTTTCCCCAGGATGCTTGGCATACATATTGATGTTTGCACACCAAATTCACATGTAGCGAATAGGATCCCTTATGATTATAACACATCAACAGATTCTGGGAGGGAATTCGAAGGAGTGAAGCCTGCAGTTAATTATCCCCACACAGACACCCCCCTCCCCACCCCCCACACACACTCCCACATAAACACAGAAACTCAGAAACCCAGCATAATTGCTGAACATTTAGAAAACTCCGCTTTTGGCATAAAGCATTAGTTCTTCATGGCACTGGCAAGTCAGGATACTGACTGACTCACAAAGTATCTCCCATTGGAACATGGAAAGAACCACTGCCGTAAAAGTTCACTATGATCTTCATGGTTAAGGGTAAATCAGTGTGAACCTGGATATCAGTATCAGCTCTGATACTTCAATTATATATAGCTTCACCCGACAGCCATAGGCAGCTCAGACACTGATCCTCACTCAGGTCTAGGTGGCTTACTCCATTCCTATAAATGCATTGCTTGGTGCACTGTCCACCTCTCATTGTCAGTCTGCAATGCTGAAGTCTGGATCCTCTTCCATCACAATGAAGCCTGATGAGCTCTGGCATCACAGCAATCCCAACACACTGTAGTAATGCCATTCAAAAAAATAGCTCTGTAAAGGGGCAGTGTAGGGAAGCAGTAATGGTATAGAACTAGGTTGTGGGTTTCATTTCTGCTATGGCAGTTGTGTAATTTGAACGAGCACCAGGAAAAATATCCAGTTGCCAGATGGTTGTAAAAACCCAACTGTTTCACTAATATCCTTCAGGGAATGAAACTCTGCCAGTTCTGTGCTGGCCTAAATTTGTGATTGACCACGTGGTTGAATCAGAGCAGCATAACAAAAAGAGCAGTGGTTTGAAGAGAGGCCTCATCGCCAGCCCATCATCTCAGGGAAACCGTAATAGTTATAGCCCTCGCATTTGATACTGCGCCTTTCACGCCGTGAGGACGTCTCAAAGTGCTTCATAGGATTTACTGTAAAATGTAGTGACTGGCTATTTAATAGGTGAAGAGTGAGAAATAAATGCATACAAAATGCTAGCTTTTATATGGCAATTTCACCTGGGATTACCCATCTGTAGAAGATTAAATACATTGACTAAGTCAACAAATGGTTGAATAGCATTCTATCTTCAATTCATACTTTCCAACATTTATCATCAGTTTTGTTTAACTAGGGCTTTGATATTTTGTATATAAAATGCAGTTCTGAAGATTATCTCAGTTGAGAATGATACTGATTAAACAATACTTGCATTGTATGCCAACATTTCTCAAAGTGCTTCAACCACAATAAGTTACTTTGAAATGTATGAGCTTCAAATATGTAAGGAAAACATAGAAGCTAACCTGCCCCCGGTAAGATCCTACAATTTTCACTTTTGATGTATTGTTTTTGAACGTGTGGAGGAATAGTGGGCTAGATACTAGAAAAACTCTTTGTTCTTTTTCATGGGACCCCGCAGATCTAACAGATCTAATATTTCATGCTTACAACAGCAGTGTTGCATCCAGTGAGTGTATTACGAACTCAGGCTCTGGTGTGGAGCTTGAGCCCACCCCTTTCTGATCCAGCTGAGCCAAACAGACACAAATTATAAAATATAAATTATTAGTGCACACAAGTGTGGACGACACACACTAAAGAAATATTCAAAGCAGTATACATTAACATTTTCATGTTATGAACCATTTAAAAATCGGCAAGGAATTACAAACATTTCTCTGAGTCTTCTTATGACAAAGCTTTTAATACTAAATTGCTGTACATCTTCAGAATACAGAGGAAGCCCAAGTAGGTGTTACCTGATATCCCATGAACTTGACACCAGGATTGTTTTCTATCTCCCACAGACCTTCATTGAAGCCTTTTCGCTTGTTCGACTTTCCAAATTTATCTTTATATTCTTTGTAAGGTAAAAGATCTTTTGGTCCCAGAAAGGCACTGTAATACAACATTCAACTGTTGGTTTTAAGAATCTTCAAGGATGTTTAACCTCTGATTAAAGAACGAATAGAATTTAAATAAAAATAAACATATCATAATTCTCAACAGAATACTAAATCTAAAACCTCAACTGGAATTCTAATTGCTTCGGACAGTCTTAAACAACTAATAGTGCCATATTTGCACATAATTTTGTCAGACAGAATCTCTCTGGCCATCAAATAAGAAATTGATCCAATCAAGAGCCACATCCAGAGCAGTGAGCTCCTTTCATGCAAAGATACAAACAAACCTGACTTTTCGTTTATTTTATAGTCTACTTACGTCTCATGAGTGCCAAAGAAGAAAATAGGATATTTATTTGCTGGTGGTTTCACAGCTCCCTCTGGGAGTTCATCGATCTGTTGAAGAGATGATAAGAGACGTGCACAAAGCTTGTTATTTACTACAAGTAGCAGCTTTTAAGGATGTGCGCTGTTTCATTATTGTACAGGTTAATAAACAGCATTAGAAACTCTAATATTTTTCCCACCGTTGCCTTAGAACAATTTGACAAAGCATGTATCAAGCAGGGAGACCCAAGATCATAAATTTGTTTCAGCCAAAACTTTTAGATTCCTCTTTCAGGCATGGAATGACCTGCTGTGAATTTACAGTATTTTCCATTTATGTTTTTGTAATTTTGTGTATGTATTATACAGCCTGATCTAACCCTCGCATAAATATATCCAATTGAACCTATCAGCCTTTATTCGCCTGCTAATTTTCAAGCACTAAATTCAATGTGCAGCTACTGTCAAACACACTGCGGACAGAAGATCATGAGCTCAATGCATACGAGGTGATGCCAAATGTGAACAGTGTACTGTACTTCCAATTAATAAGGGTCCAGAGGACACCAGTGCTATAAGTGCGATAGTGCTAATACCAAAATCAGAGTCCTGCAGTATCAAGTTCATATCATCCAAATACTGCTGGTGCCTTTTACCCACCAGGCTAACGTGGCTCCAGGGGTTACAGTGAGAATTATGACCAAAACAAACAAAATAGCTATCTTTGTTTGCAATTTTTTTTATCAAGGTGAGGGAAGAGGGGGAGGGGAGTCGGGAGAAGGCAAGAAATAGCGTTTCAGAACATTTATTTTATTTGTTGCATTCATTTTTTTGGTCAGTCTGATATTTGCTTCAATCCCTAGTCCTTTTACATCTGAACTATGGTGGGCAAGGAGGTCTGTGTCCATTACTTCCTCAACGTAAGTGTTGACCGGTGGTTCTGTTTTACAAGGGAAACTTCAAACAGATGCTAATGTGGTTTTGAGTTGCTTTTGTTTGAAACCATTCAAATGTGAATGAATTTCTTGACTTGCCTCCAATTCAATTTTTAAGCCTCGTTGTAGGTCTAAACAAAATAGCTATCATCACGGTTCCACTCCCATCAACAATGTTTTGCCATTAATATATGTGTGTTCCGTTTCCCTGCTGTGTTTTACCATTGAAATTTATATCTCCTGCTTCCCCTGTGCCAAGATGTCATCACAGCACCTAGCACCTCATGATATTTTTCAAATTGACTTGTTTTGTGATCAAAAGATGGGGAGGGGGTTACCAAAATAAAAATAAAAATGAACATATGAAATAACTAGAGTACCGAAAACCACCCATCCAACCTGTGAAAACTTCCCATCTTAAAACTGAAGATCATGCAGAATTGTGGAATATTCATAAACCCTGGCTTAATTTGCAAGCCAATTTACCGCAGCCTTTAAAAAAGAAATGGGATTCTACATTAAGACTGAATTTACTAAATTGATAACAAAATAGTCTTAGAGGCTAGGACTAGGTGATATTTTGGTCATTCTGTAACAAACGTAGATGCTGTTTTTACCTTAATGATATATTTTCCAGATGCATTCGATTTCTTGAGTTAAAAAATAGGCAATGGAGCCTATTTCAGTTAGTGCTCTAACTCTGGGAAAATGCCAAAGAAGATGTAATGTATTGACGTACTTTATTTGTTATTGAGGTCTACTTTTGCCAAAAATAGGAGTTTAATCCATGGAACCACCTACATATTTTTATTCAACCATGGAATGTTCTTTCCTACATTTTGTGAAAAAGCAACCTATGAAATGATTAAGAAGTGAATGGAACCATAAAAACAAAACACAAGACATGACATCACTATGTGAGACACATCCTGTGAATCATGTGAATCATGGTAGTAGTATGTGTTTCAACAAGGAATTAATTGTCATGGAAGTGCTCATATCAGCGATCATTACTAATCAACATTTTTTTAATAAATACAGCCTATATTGGTGAGAATAACTTGTGCCTTCAAGTTCTTTCATGCACACAATCAGTAGTCTAAAGCAATTCACGAAACATCTGTATTCTTACAATTAAAGCTGTATGTTTGTATAGTTGAAGAGAAATGGGAAACAGTAGTGTATTGAACAGAACATTTCAAAGAGGAGCTAAAGTATTTCAGACATGTGCAGTGCCTACTCAAGATTATCCTTTGAATCCTTTAACACTTTGACACTTAGCCATCATTGTTTTTTGAAAAAAGAGGAACAGATTATAGAATTCTCCACGATCACCATTATTGATACTGTACATTGTCAACCAAATTAGATCCTTCAAGAAATCAGTTAGGAAGAAATGTTAAAGAATATAAGAAAGATTTTCACAAATGACAACTGTGTTCAGATTTGAGATTCACTCTCTTTAGCTCAGGAATCTTTACACAACTAGGCATTGGTAGAACATGAGGTTTTAAGTCTTGAATGCTTATAAGATAACTGGGCCAGATGTTCAAGGAGGCAATGGGTGATGCTCTGGTTAATATTTTAAAAAGCTCAGTCCACACTGGCATTATCCCCAAGACTGGAGATAGCAATTGTCATTCTGTTATTTAAATAAAGATAGTGTACTTGCATTTAATAAAGTGCTTTATCACACTGAAACATCTCAAGCTGTCCGACAAATTGAGTTGCTTTTAACTGCAGAGATTGGTTATGCAGGAAAATACAATAGCCAACTGAGTGCCACAAGGTCTCATGAGCAACAATGAATGACAACTTAATGTGAGTTTTGTGTAAATTTGGATAAAAAAGGTATATTGATCACGTCTCCTCACTCTTCTTTGAAGCACCATAGTGCCCAGGGGGCATTTTTAATGTCCACTTGAACCATCAGAAAGGGAGATTGGCCCTCAGTTTAAATGCTTCATTCAAACAACGGCAGGTCAACAATCACTGTTGAGTGTTGCTCTGGCAATGCAACCTGGAAAACAAGCTAAAATCCTGGACAAGGAGTAAGGTAGCAGCATGAAAATTGCAGACCGTCTACCATCTTAAGGGGTTCTACAGATGCTGATAAAGAGCACAGATGTTTAGATGACATGGCGGGGGGGGACACAGATGTAGAAAAATAGGTCATGCCTTACAAATTAGGAATTCTTCCACTGGGAAACCAATTTAGTAGAAACTACCTAGAAGATATAATTTACATGAAATTTCAGACAGTGTTTGATATAGTTCAACATGTGAGGCTTTTAAAGGTCAGAGATTGTGCAATTAATTGCAAATGAGCTTGTTGGATCGAAAACTAGCTTAGTAATAGGAAGCAGAAGGTGACAGGAATGCTCCATCTGGGAGACATCAATTTGTGTGAGGTTTAAAAGTTTCTATTCTTTGATTTTTCGCCACTCACAATGTTCAGAAAGAACTTGGGGGAATTTTTTTTAAATTATAACATTTGCTGACAAACTATGTGGGAGAATAAATAATATACAAAATGATAACTAGCCTGAAAATCTGGGGCGATTGAGTAGTCAGACCAAGGTCTGGCAGATGGATTTTAATATACATGAATGAGAGGTAATATTTTACTGGAACAAGAAACAGGGATAATGGAATGAGGAATAGTAAATATGAAGGAGTGTAGATTAGGAGAAGCAGAAAAGGGAATTGATTTATATGTGCTCATTGATCATTCACTGAAGTGATACATTCAACACAAAGCTACTGCTTGCAAAGCAAACCAAGTATTACGTTTGTCTTGAGGATATTTCTTACAAGGCAGAGATGATATTGATGTAGAGCAGGCTCTTCTGACTTAGACAATGAGAATAGAACTAGTGGCTTTACGTTTAAAATTCATGAACTACACATACAGCTGGAAATTGTGAACTTCTTTCCTCCGAGGAATAGTAACTTTATGGAAACACTCCCGACAAGGTCAATTGATGCTGCACTGATGGAATTCCTTCAGAAAGAACCAGATACCAAGTGCCTGAGGACAATATTAGGGGATATAGGAATAGAGGGAGCCTGAGATGAAAACATATTTTGTGCCATTAGAGGTCACTGAATAGAAATTTTGAAGGGGATTGTTAATGATGGTGCAGACAAATTGTTCACTGTAGACATATGGCATCAGGCAAGCTGTAACCTTGAGATGTTTTAATGTGCAGCAAACCCTTAAAATATATCATTGAATTATTTTGATCTCATCCAATAATCAATAAGAGAATATCCATCAGAAAGCACTGGTTTACAATCAAACTAATGAACAAAGCCAATAGCACCATGACAAACTTTTTTTTCCACCCTACAAAATGCACACTCACTATCCTTTACAGTAAATCCCGTGAAGCCCTTTGAGACGGCCTCCCGACACAAAAGGCACTATATCAAGTGTAAGGATTATAATTATTATTGTAATTATTATTATAAGGATGTATTATTATTACTGGCGTGTGGAGTAAGAAAACTTGCCTAAGGTTTCACCCTGCGAGGGACCGAACCCGGGTCCTCTCGCTTGTGAGGCGAGTGCTCTAACCAATACGCTACAGGACTTCCTAACAATCTCTCCCCTCAAACATTGGTCATTCAATCCACAATTGTTTGTGGGACATTGCTATCCATTCAATCCCACTGGCCCACTATATCCCCAAGACCCTTCAAACCTTTGCCTTTTGTGTGCCTGGCTACTTCCCTAGTGAAACTCGCAATGGACTCTGCTTCTACCACTTTACTTGTTGAGACATTCCACATCCCAACAACTCTTTGTGTGAAAAACATTCTCCCAAGCCTATGTCTGTGAAAATACCAACACTATGTTTTAGCTATTATAAGTGTGGCTGGTATATATTTTTGTTTCGCTTTTCAAGTTGATGTGCTTTTCACCATGGAAAATGTAAATTTAGGATTTCCAGATATTTGATTACATGCAGCATATGGCAACAGAATACTTTTACATTTCCTACTGTGGCCAAATTGCTCCCTTATGTTAAGGAGGTTATATTAAGGGAAAAGGATGGCAGACGTATTTTTAAATATTTTTTCACCTGTTTCTGATTACCAGCATCTCATTCATACTGTTTCCATTTAAGT